ACCGGCTATCATCTGCGCCTATGACTTTCGCTATTACTGTCCGCAATGAAGTGTCGTACGAACAAACTACGTCGCTCGTGCAAATAAGGCACTAATGGTTCAGGTGGCAAGAAATCCGTTGTGCTTCAGAACGTGCGTATCTTTGGATATCGAAGAAGCTGTAGCACGTCTGCGTTGCTTATCAGCACCATCATCTACTTCGGTTTGGTCGAATAATTCGCGTGACAATTGACGTTGTCGCTTTTAGCCTATCTGATCCGATCATGTGCTCCAGTCAAAGCGATCCATTCACTGCGGTGTCACTAGTCGACGCCTCTGTACGCTGCATCAGAAGAATGCTTGTGGATCGATCTGCGCTCTTGTCCAAGCGATTGAAAAATGGAAACGGTAGTTCGTCCCTGTCTTCGTCGCGGTCTGTTGCAGAAACGCCCGAAAGAACCAATAACTCATTAAACGACGGCTCCTGAGCAAAAAACAGCAGGCGATACTTTGATTTCAGACCTACAACACACATCAACTGCCGAGCAAAGAAAATCGCTACGCAGTTTCCTAAATCACTAATTCTTGACTTTACGTGTTCACCCGATAGTGTCTACCGGACGGGAAAGCTACGGCTAAAGTACGGCAGAGTGTGATTTGCTAATGCAAACTTTCTATTTGGTCGATCATCCAATCATCGTGCAGCAAGTCCGTCCCTTTCGCCACCTTATCAGTGGTGGTATCGGCATTTTTATCGCGCGCTCCTGACCAAGGTGATGGCAAAAAGCTTAAATTGAACCTTTCGTCAGCAAGTCAAAAATGAACCTCATGTACACGGCTGAAGCACGCAACCTCGTTAGAAATAGTCCGAGTCCGAACAGAAAATAGTCTCATCGAAGCATAGCTCTGTCCAAGGAGAAAATCCATCTTCCTTTCACCTCTTCATCGGCTAGCTGATCGTTTTAGCAATATTAAAAATTATAATAGCTGTTTCTGGTTTATATCTGATACCTGTCAGCCATACTGACT